GTGGGGTAATGAGTGTTTGAGATGGGCGGTGGCCCCCCGCCGTGGGCCAGGAGGGATGGTGGGTGTGCTCTGCACTGTGCAGCCCGTGACCTTGCAGGGTCTGGCTGGGGAGCTCGCAGGTCCTCAGCCTGGCTGCCTTTGCCGAGCCACGGTGACAGTGGCTGGCTCTTCCTGTTGCAGCAAGGTGAGCCAACCACCCTGGACCTGGAGAAGCTGGTCAGCACCGTGGCTGCTCAGAAACTTGTCCTGGAAACACAGGCAGGTAAAGTGTCCTCCCCTCCAAGCCGTGTACCCCCCACCACGCTGTACCCCCCCACCAGAGCTGGGTCCCACTCACAGGGACCAGGCTGCTTTCTGCTCCCCATGGTTCCTGCTCCCTGGGATGGGCTCCATCCTGTCACCAGCTGGGCCAGGACCGGGGCACTGGCACAGGGCACTGAGTATCACTTACCTTGCAGACATGCGAGTGATGGAGAGCACTGAGGCTGCGGCTGCCCCCTCCCCGCTCCGGAGTGAGGTGAGTTCAATATCCCACTGCCCCAGTTGGAGATGTCCCCACGGCAGCTGCCATGGTCCATGGGGAAAGTGTGCCCCGCTGTGACCCCAGCACATGCTGCGGGACTGGGCAGCGGGTACCAAGGCGGGAACCAGGCTGCGAGAGGGCGATGGGGAGGAGGGCTGGGGGAGTGCTGCCTCCTTGTCCTGTCACTGAGGCCTGGGCTGCTCATTGCAGGAGGGAAGCCCAACAGGAGCAGAGCCTGATACGCTGTGGGAGATGCCCACCTCCTTCTCCCGGCCCCGGTCTTCAGCTGCCACAAACCTGAACCGCCGCACGTATGACCTGGAAGGTGAGACCTGGCATGTCTGAAACGTGAGAGGCTGGGGCAAAACACAGGGTGAGGGATGCAGGGCCCCCAGTCTGCTGGGGATGGGTGCAAGGTCCCATGAATCTGGGAATGGGCTATGGGGGACTTGGGGTCCCCTGGTGTGCTGGGGATGGGTGCAGGGTCCCAGGGGTGCTGGCATGGAGCAGGGAGAAGATGCAGGTTCTGTGCCTGCTGTGCCTGTTCAGTGTCACATCAGGTGGAGAGGGCAGCCCCGAGGTGTTAGGACAGGAGCCCAAGTGCCGGGCTCAGGTGCATGACCTGCATTTCCCCCAGGGCTGGTGGAGCTGTTGAACCGTGCCCAGAGCTGCCGGGCCAACGACCAGCGTGGGCTGCTCTCCAAGGAGGACCTGGTACTGCCTGACTTCCTCCAGCTCCCCGGGCAGGACAACAGCACCTGCAAAGGGTCGGATCAGCCCCGCAGCCCTCACCCAGGTGCCAAGGGAAACGGCCATCCTCAGCCTGCAGAGCCTGCACCGGCTCAGCCTCCAGTTGACCATGAGCTCCGATGAGCCCTGCTGCACGTCCACACCTGGCGCGTGGTACCCCCGGGCCATGCCGGGGTTCAACATGGGGCCCGACCGGCCCCTGCCCTGCACCGCCGACACTGCCTGGACCGCAGATTCGTCCACGTCCTGTCCCAAACTGTTGTGTCGTGTCGCTGTGAGTGGTTGAGCAGCTGCCATGCCCCTTGGTGGGGTCGCATCCTGGTGCACGTCAAGGGAGCCCTGTACATAGTTTGAAACCCCGTTGCAAAGCACTTTGCAACGTCCCACGCATGCCTGGCACTGTCCTGCCCAGTGCCTCTGCCTGCTCTGCCTGTGGCAGAGCTGCCCGCCCAGCAAATCCTGCCTGTGCCAGGCTGGCACAGCCCTGCTGACTGTTCAGGTGGGGAAAGCACCCTTCCAACCAAAGGGTGTGAGGGATAGAGAGGGTGGGTGGGGTGGCAAGGCAGGCTCCAGCCCCAAACCCCAGTGCTCTGGGCAGGCGGGGTCAGGAGAATGTGTGTCTGGAGCGGAGGGCTGGATCTGGTCCCTGACCCCGCAGGAACAGGGCTTCCCCCATTGTTGATGTGCAGGTCTACCCTTCCCGGGGAGGGTGGGCATGGCCCTGCAGGCCTGTGCCCAGGCAGGTTGTTACCATCAGCATTGCCTGAGTGTGGCTGGGCCTGATCCTGCCACCATAGCACTGCTGAGGCTGTGCCAAAGAAGCCTTCCTCCTTCCCGCACGGAGACCCTACATGGGCGGCTGAAGCGACCCGCAGGAGCAGATCCCCATAGGTCCCCTGCCCCTTGGCCCTCAGGGACAGGCCTGCCTGGTGCCAGAGTAATGCAGCACCCCTGGGTGCTGAGCATCTCAGCCTGGTGCACAGGTACCCAGCGTATGCCCAGCCTGGCATCCCTGCTGGCGGCTGTGTTGGGCTGTAACCTTGGGCCCGGCTCTGCCAGACCTGGCTGTGCCCCGCAGATCCCCATGCCCAGCAGCCCCATGTCCCCAGAGGTCCCAGACCCAGTCTGCAATGGAGGCAGCCCTCCGACAGCAGCCAGGAGATCCCTCCATCATCTGCATGTGCCAGGCCCCTTCCCTGGGTCACTGCTCTGTCACCAGTGCCTGGCCAGAGGCAGAGGGGTGGCCCAGGGCAGCCCCAGGGCTCGCCCAGGGACAGGGACCCTGTCCATCCAGCCCCATGCTGCCGCAGCCGGCTGCGGCCCCAGTCAGAGCCCCCCTGTGTCTCTGTGGTGCTGCTCAGTCCTGTCTGTGGTGTGAAACCGGGGGAAATAAAGAGCATTGCCTGGACGTGCATCCGTCTCCTTCCTCCACCGCTGAGGCTGGACAGTGCTTTTCCCGGCAGCAATGTCTCCCCAGCCCCCCATACCCCACGGAGCCCCCCAGGGCCAGGGCAGGGCTGGAGCCAGCCCTTGACCCCGGTGCCACCCTGCCCAGCTGCAAAGGGCAGTGCCAGGAGCTTGTTTTCCCGGCACTGCTGATGGTGTAGGGGAAGCTGCGGGGCCGGCATGGCCAAGGACTTCAGCCCCGACCCTGTCAATGAGTGACAGCCAGAGCTGCCAGGGCCTCACCGGGTTAATGATTGTGGGGGCCAAGAGCCCCCGGGCACAAGGCAAGCGTGGATACCGGCTCCCTGCCCACTGCAGCCTGGCATGGGGCTCTGCGGGTGTCACTGTCCACAGGCAGAAGGGTCAGAAGGGTCCCCGGGCCCCCGCAGAGGTAGGACATGTCCCCTGCCATGGCATCTCCCGAGCATTCAGCTCCATCAGTTTGTGACTTGGCAGAGGCTCGGTGATGCTCCAGCGGTGGCAGGGAGGTCCTCAGGCTGGCATGTCCCCAAGCTGTCCCCGGGCACCCTGGGGTACCCGAGGGATCTCCACTTGCTCCCCCTGTGCAATCATGGCTGGCTTGTCCATGCTGGTGGGACCCAGGAGTGCCTGGTCCTAGAGGAAGGGGGATGTGGCAGCCACACAACCCCTCTGTGCCCCACTCCCCACAGGCAGGGGGGTTGGAGGGGCCTTTGCCCCTGGCTCTCCACTGGACAGACATGGACACGAGCTGGCTGGGCTCCTCATGGGTGGATGGAAACTTGGCCAGAAGTACGTAAACAGCGGGTAATGATAAACGGTGTTGAGGAGGTGGTGACGGCAATGCTGGTGTCGCTCCGCTCCTGCCCGCCCCAGCATCGCACATGTTGGGAAGCCACAGGCTCTGCTCCACGCAGCCTTCACAGCGCCGCCAGCTGCTCCACGCTGAGCCACTGGCACAGGCTGAGCTGGGCCGTATGCCACTGTCACCACCAGCGACAGGACACAGGGACCACACCGATGCTGATGTAACCCACCGCCAACGCCCTGGTGACAAGGGCAGTGCGTGCCCTGGGCAGAGCCAGGTCTCTCGTGGCTGATGGTTATATGGCTCCAAGGATGGTGGATGCATGCATGGCCTCACCTCTAGTTTGGGACACCCCAGCAGCGCCAGCGCTGAGCCCTTCTCCTCCTCTTCTTCCTCTCGTGGAGGGGATGAAGCACCAGGCAGCAAGTGATGGAGAGCTGAGGCTGCTCCGGCATCACGCCTTGGGCACTGTGCTCCAGCACTGCCCTGGCTTTGCTCCCCACTGCCCAGCTGCTGCTTGCCCAGGGGCAATGCTGAACCTCGGGCAGGCGAGGCGGGGTGTGCCGGCGGCACGGTACCCTGGGGGCGCATGCCCCATCCTGCCCCAGGGCCCTGGCTGACGCGGGATGCCGTGGGGTTACCCATTAACTGCAGGAATTTCTGGGGAGGAGGTGAGTGGTGAGCGGAGGCGAGGGGCAACGCAGGGCTCCTTAGACTTTGCTCTTGGCGTGCATATAAAGGGCCACGGTGCCCCAAGGACCACTTTGCTAGAGGGACGCGTGGATGTGGCAGTGGATATGGCACTGTCCTGAGTACCCAGCCAGCCTCAGGTGAGTGGGGCCCTGGGCAGGAGGGGTCCCATCCCTGTGTCCCCTCCGCCTGGGCTGCCTGTCCTTTCGGGAGCTCGCTGGGGTGGCACAGCGGCAGCTGGGGGCCCAGGAGACCATTGGGTGAAGGGATGGTGCTCCTCAGTGGTGACAGCACCGCAGGGATTCTGGGGGCCGGTGGCAGTCGGCGCAGCCCAGCCATGGCTCCACCGCGGTGACATGCGGCTGCCTCTGCTCAGCCTCAGCAGGAGCGATGCTGCCCTACCGGAGGGAGAGCCCAGCCCTGCCCCGCTGCCCGGTGCGGGGAGGAAGGGTGGTGCATGGGCCCCAGTTTGCCTACTGCCCCAGCCCCCAAGGTAGGTGCCCCCAGCCCTCCCCCTCTTCCTCGCCCCGCCAGGCTCAGCTCTGCTTCTGGCCGGACCCTGGCTGGGCAGTGCCTGGCTCCCCTCTGCAGGGGGGTCCCTGCGAGGATGGGGCCATAACGCGGGTGCTCCCTCTCCCCAGCTCTGCACCGGCTCCCGGGTGCCCATGCCTGCCCCTTCACCGTCAGTGCGGTGCCTTGCCCTGACCATGGCTTCCCCTGCCCCGGCTCCCCGGGGCGCCTGGGCGAGGGCAGGGAGCGGTATGAGCTGGAGGCGCTGCCCTGGCAGGGGCCCCGGCTGGGCTTGGACGAGCTGCAGAAGCCAGGTGAGACCCCCAGGCAGTGCCCCTCAAGGCACAATGCACCCAGGTTGGGGACCACCCTGGAGACCTGCCGGAGGCACCCTGGGGGGCATGAAGTGCCAGGAGAGCCCAAGCCTTGCTCCTGGGACTGGCAGCAATTTCTCCCCGCTGCCCCACCACGCTGGTCCTCACGCTGGCACCCCAGACAGACTCCAGCAGGAAGGGGGAGTAGGGGAGACCCTCAGCTCCCTGGGTGTTGCAGGCAGAGCCAAGTGGCAACAGGGGTGGTCAGCACAAGGTGCTCCAGGGTGGGAGGATGTGGAGGGGACCCAGGGAGTGGTGGCATGGCTGGGGACATGAACCCCATCCCACTGAGGGCACAGGAAGATGGCGTGGGGCTGTGGGAGCCCGGGCCATGCCACAGCCGGTGTTTGACACTCTCTCTTGTCTTGCGCAGAGCTGGGGTGCTGGGCCAGGGTCCAGTCCATCTGTGTCTCCCTTCTCAAGGTGCCCCTGATGTTTGGGTTCCTGTACCTCTTTGTGTGCTCTCTGGATGTGCTCAGCTCTGCCTTCCAGCTGGCCGGAGGTAGAGTGGCTGTGGCACCTGGGGCTGGTGGCGCCCACTGTGCCGGCACCCTGCTGCTCCCACTCTCTCGCAGGCAAGGTGGCCGGGGACATCTTCAAGGACAACGCCATCCTCTCCAACCCGGTGGCTGGGCTGGTGGTGGGCATCCTGGTGACCGTGCTGGTGCAGAGTTCCTCCACCTCCACCTCCATCATTGTCAGCATGGTCTCCTCAGGGCGTGAGTGTGCCCATGGGGCTCCCTGGGAGCTGAGGCTGGGGGATGGGGTAGCTGGATGGGGTCACCCTGAGCTGGGCCATGCAGGGCTAGCGGGTCTCTCTGTTCCCAGTGCTGGAGGTACGCTCTGCCATCCCCATCATCATGGGCTCCAACATTGGCACCTCTGTCACCAACACCATCGTGGCCCTCATGCAGGCTGGTGACCGCAGTGAGTTCAAACGGTGAGAGCTGGTTGGGGAAGAAGGAACTGAGTGGGCTGGGGGCTGCTACCCAGGAACCACCCCATGCCAATGGGCTGCTCCGCACAGGGCCTTTGCTGGTGCCACGGTGCATGACTGTTTCAACTGGCTGTCGGTGCTGGTCCTGCTGCCACTGGAGGTGGTGAGCGGGTACCTGCACCATGTCACTCGCCTGGTTGTGGCCACCTTCAACATCCGCAGTGGGAAGGATGCCCCTGACCTGCTGAAGATCATCACAGAGCCCTTCACCAAGCTCATCATCCAGGTCTCCTCAGCTATGGTGCCCCCAGGCTGGTGGTGGTCCTCCAGCATTGCTGTCCCTGTGCTGGTGGTGATGTCCCCAGTGCTGGTGTCCCTTTGATGGTGGTCATGTGCAAGTGTCCCCAGGCTGGCAGTGGTGTCCCCATCCCAGTGAAGATGTCCCCAAGCCAGGGGTGCTGTCAGCCCCCAAGGGCCCTCTCCAACATGTGTGTTGTTGCAGCTGGACAAGTCGGTGATCACAGGCATTGCAATGGGGGACGAGAGCCTGCGTAACCGGAGCCTCATCCGTGTCTGGTGTGGCCCTGCACCCCCACAGGTGAGGGACCCATGGCCCTGATAGGGCCACCAAACAATCTCACGGAGGGTGGGTGGTGGGCAGAGACTGGCCGAGGATGCTGCGGAGCCAGCTGCAGTCCATCCTCTCCCCGCAGACAGCTGCTGTGGGGCTTGGATCCTCCCTGAACTGCACGGCTCCTGGCCACTGCAGCCCTAAGGGCATCGAGAGCCTCCGCAACATCACCAGGCAGAAGTGTGAGTGGGTATGGGGTTTGGGCAGGGCTGGGGGCATGGGGCATGGGGATGGGGAGGTGCAGGGGGGGCAGGGGGGCTTTATGTGGGATGGGGGGGTGCTGGACATGGGGCTGGAGTCATGATGTGGGGCAGGGCTGGGACATGTTGGGGCTGGAGTCCAGGTGTGGGGCTGTTGGGGGGGCCAGGTTGGTGAGCGGGGCCAGGCCTCCCCAGCCCCTCGCCCAGCTGTGCTGTGGGACAGGCGAACACCTCTTCACTGACACACCGCTGCCTGACCTGGCCGTGGGGCTGGTGCTGCTGGCCGGGTCTCTTGTCGTGCTCTGCACCTGCCTCATCCTCCTGGTCAAACTCCTCAACTCCCTGCTCAAGGGGCAGGTGGCCAAAGCCATCCAGAAGGTCATCAACACTGGTGAGTGAGACAGGGACCACCATGGGGTGAGTGGGATGGGACAGTGACTGCCCCACGGCCACCCAGCCCCATCCCCACCTGCCATCCTCATACCCATCCCTGGCTGCCCCTAACCCCCATCCCTGCCTGGACCCCCATGTCCCCTGCCTGCCCCTGATCCCCACTCTGCCTATAGACGTCGTGGTGTCCTGGTGTCCACATCCTCCTTCCCCAGCCATCCCAGCCACCAGCCACCAGGCTGGCCCCATACCCACAGCCTGACCCCATACCCAGAGCCTGGCCCCACAACCCCCTCCCAGCACCATGTAGGAGCTCTGGGCTGCTCCTAGCTGATGTGTCCATGCCCATGTCCGTGCCTGTGCCTATGGCCATGCTGTGGCAGACCTCCCGCACCCGCTCAGCTGGCTCACTGGGTACTTCGCCATGGTGGTTGGTGCTGGCATGACCTTCGTGGTGCAGAGCAGCTCTGTCTTCACCTCGGCCATCACACCCCTGATTGGTGAGTCCCAAGCAAGCCTAGTCCCCTGGCATGTGCTGATCCTCCCCGACAAGGGCCCGTGGTGCTGGGGCGCTCAGAGGTGTACTCAGAGCTGTGCCTCCCTGTGATTGCATGGGGATGGCACTGGCAAGGAGCGATGGGACAGGATGGGGTGCCTCTCCCACAGGCCTGGGGGTGATCAGCATAGAGCGCGCCTACCCACTGCCCCTGGGCTCCAACATCGGCACCACCACCACCGCCATCCTGGCCGCTCTGGCCAGTCCGGGGGACAAGCTGGCCAGCTCCTTTCAGGTACGGGCAGCCTGGGGCCATAGCTGAGCTGGTGGGGGGGCACCAGGCAAGACAGAGGCTGGGAGAAGCCTGTGTGCCTGGCCCAACGGGAATGCTGTCCCCTCAGATCGCCCTCTGCCACTTCTTCTTCAACATCTCTGGCATCCTGCTGTGGTACCCGCTGCCCTTCACCCGGCTGCCCATCCGCATGGCCAAGGCACTGGGCGAGCGCACAGCCAAGTACCGCTGGTTCGCTGTGCTGTACCTTATTGTCTGCTTCCTCCTGCTGCCCTCCCTCATCTTTGGCATCTCCATGGCGGGCTGGCAGGCGCTGGTGGGGGTGGGCGCACCCTTCCTCAGCCTCCTTTTCTTCGTGGGGCTGGTGAA